GGCACTGCTTCCCTCTCCTGAGGCGTCGGACGGTTTGCCAGTGCGAACTCTGATCGATTGAGTCATTTGATTCAGGAACTCTGTTCAATTGAATCAAATTCGTTGGATTCAGTAATTCCAATTCATATAGTTGGATATACTGTTTGTTTTGGGGAAAAAAGTGAATGGTTGGAAGAAATTCTGAATCTTAATCTGTGTTGGGTCGAATTGAATATATATTTACATTTACCTTTTGTACATTTGGGGTTTTGAATGTAATGTTTTGTTTCGTTATTGTGATTTGCTTTGATCAGAGTGAAAGAGACAGACAGTGTTGGGTTCTGAGTTTACTTTATTCACACATTGAATGAAAAGTGTGACGCTTCATTGAATTGAAGCTGTTGAGTATTGAATCTTTCAGCCTAGAAAAAAACAATAGAAGAGTGATGACAGTGTTTCTTTTATTTACAGACTGTTATTGATTGATTGTTCATATGTGATTAATTTTAATTGAAACAAAATACAAAGAGTGCAACATTGTCAACTATTCACTCACCTGCATTCGTCATTTCCTCCCTCCAGAAGACGGTCCTTACTTCTGATCACATTGGCCCATATTGAATATTATTGCTAGGTGTAGCATATCAGTTACATGGTGCACTACACGCTACACTTTCTGTTTTTTTTAAAGAAAGAAAAGCAGGGATGATTTGATATTATTTTTTACTTGTAGTAACATTATGCTACAAACCTTGTTGACTCCTTTAAAAAAAATTACTTCAACAATTTTCACCAACTGCTCCTCAACCACCTTGGCTTTGTTTTAGGTCTCCTCTATAACTCTGACATACATATTTTGTGTGCTTGCATAAAGACGTCCCAACGCCCAGCCTGGTGAAAAGGGACGAGTTGATCCTATAAATAAAGCATGATGGATGGACATCACGCTCCATAACCCTATGTAAAGAAGGTGACTCTGTGGAACTTTAAATTGGTTTGTGTTGTGTTTACTGGTGGGCTGTCTTCAGTGTAGGTAAATGGAGGAAATAGTGGCCTTTCCCACTCACAAGATTTTCCAACTCATTACCCTCAACAATCTCTGCATAACCTCATTAAACTCAATGGCCCTATTTGGAAGTCTGTTAGTAAGCAGATGAAACTTTTAAGGCACATAAAATGGGTTTAGTATGATCAACGGTACCCACGTCACAATGAGTGCTTTTACTTTCCGCGATCTGTGCTTCCACAACCTGTAATTAAATTACTGACCGCTTCCATATGCATCTATCCCAGGCATGCTTTTAAGACCAAAGCCAAGTCTAGCATTCCAAACAACTCTTACACACACTTCTGTACCCAGGATTTCTGGGAAAGTTAACATATTGCGCCTCCTATGTCTAGATTGAGCTCTAAGTTTTGTTTTCATAGCCCGAGCGGTGCCCTCAAAAATCCTGACATCATTTGCAATAACATACACAAATGCGGCTAAAAGCTTCCAGCTGTTTTCTACTCTAAGCAATTCTCTCCTCTCTTTGAGCTGGAAAATAACTGTGAAGGTGCGATGCTGCTACTTTTACCACCACACCCCAACGTCTGCACTGTGGAACTCAAAAACAAGAGCTCAAATGATATCCTGACTACATTAAAACAAATACATTCCACAGAAGAAAGGTTAAAGTGGTGCAGGTTCAGTGCAAGTTAAAGGGATAGTTCAGCCAAAAAAGAAAATTCTGTCTTAAACATGAATTCTTTCCAAACCATTAGACAAAGGTATTTTGTAATGGTCCATCAATTGAAAGTTTATGCAAACAACATCTTCATGCATCAAAAAGTAATCCATATAAATCAAATGGTTTAATCCAAGTCATCAGAGGAGACACGATCGCTTCATACGATGAACAGATTTAATGTAGATAAACGCATGCATACTGTACAGGGAGCACATTCAATATGGTAAACGACATAAGTTTGGTTAAGATTGAGAACAATCCTCATTGGTTCTCTCACAACAAGCATTAAAGTTTGAGCTACCATTAAAATGTTGATTGCATAGACTTTCAATGGAAGGAAAAATTATGGGAGATTATTAAAATATCTTAATTTGCGTTCCAAAGATGTTGAACAAAAGTGTTATGGGTCTGGAACAACAGTGTTATGGGTCTGGAACAACTAAGCTCGGTCAACAGGATTACCACAAAATAAATACATAAATAATTATTTTTTTTTGCATCCCGCAAAAAAAAGCAAAAATGGAGGTTATGGTGAGGTACTTAGAATGGAATTTAACCGCAGAAATGTGAAGCTTGTCATTTTATAAAAGCACTTACAGGTGCATTAATTTTTCTGTTAAAACGGGAGTATAATTTGAGTTGTAAAGCTGTTAAAATAATCAGTTTTAGAGTTAATTGGTCTATGTTGTCATGTCAATGAAGCCATTGGCTACAACTTTACACAGAAAAGATTAGCAAGTAATTTTTTCACACTTAAAGCACATTTTGTTTACCTTGACTTTTGAAAAATATATATATTTTAATGTTATGGATTAGCCACATTTACTTCCATTATAAGTAATTTACTGTAACACTGATTTTAAAGAAAAGGAAGAGCAAGCCAAAAAAAAAAAAAAGTTTTCATGGTAATCAATATTATGCCACAAAAACTGATTGAGCATCGATTGAGCATAACTTTTACTGAATCCGGAATATTCCTTTAAGAAATGTTGTTGCTGGACCTTGTTAATACAGAACATCGAGACCAAAGAAATAGTCTTGGCAGCTTTTGATAAATCCCAGGAAAATGCTTTTATGATGTGGTCTCCAATCTGAGGCCCAAGGCAATATAAAAGCAGCCTTGGGTCAATGTCTGCAAACTTTTGTTACCTGATCAAAGCAGAGAGAAAAAACTCTTGTGGACTCATTTTTCTTTAGGACAGATGAAAAAATTAGTATGTCTATGAGACAGTAAAAGTCAGGAATGGAGTAAGCACCACTTAAATACAACCAGGTCTTCATTTTGAGCAAACACGGACCTATTAGCCTACTAACCGAACTTATCTGGGTAATTTTCTCTATAAAAAGTTAATGTCAGCATGTAATCGTTACGAAACGAAAAAAAAAGAAAAGAAAAAAAGAACAAATCTCATGAAACTGACACATAACCTCCCAGGTCTGTGACATTTCTCTTTGTGAAACATGTGCATTCAAGATGCTTATATGATTCAAATTTAGTCAGCGCGAGTAGAAACGCTGTGGGAAAACTAAAGACCGGGCCGATCTTTTCTTGCATAATGATCATCGTAATCCAAGTTGTCATAGAAACAAGAACTTGTTTGATGAAATTGAAAACCAGACATTAAGTGCAGGCACACATGGGCTCACGCACGTACACATACAACAAAATGAGGATGCAAGATTACAATACATTTTCTTTCGCCAGATAAACCACACTACATGCTTTTAATGTCAATCCAAAGTACACAAAACTTTCATCACAATAATGTAAGAAAGTTTCACGAATCTGAAGTCATTTTTTGATGTTTAAATATTTAATTTCATCATAAGATTATCTAATAAATGATGCTAATTCTAATAACACCTCACAAAAAAAAGGTTTAGGAAAGGATATTTTTTCTTAAGCATTTTTTAAAACCAGTTATTCAGAATTAACTTGTTTTTCAGATGAAAAATTACCCTAAATGAGGATTCTTCTCATTCTCAATCAGATGTTATAGATTTGTATAGATAATACCTGACAAATTCCAGCCTGGTGCTTTCAATTCTAAGTGCTTAGTTCTAAGGTTAGTTCCCCCCAAAATTACAATTTTGTCATAATATGAACCCTCATGTCATTTCAAACAAGACTTTTGTTTTGAAGAAACATAAGAGATTTCTGTCTGTCCATTTTTAAAGTCCATGCAAATAAAACGTTTAAGCTTGAAATAAAGATATTGTAAAAGTAGTCCATATGAATCAGGCCGTTTAATCCAAGTCTTCTGAAGCAACATGTTAGCTTTATATGATAAATATAATTAATTTAGGCTTTTTCACATATAAACATTAATCAATACACATGCATAGAGTTCATACATATGGTAAACGGAAGCTCAAAGAACAAACCAAATGTGCTTTCAATATTTTATGTACTACAGTATATGTACTGTATGTGCATTGATCAATGTTTAGATGTGAATAAAGACCTATTAAATGTGCCAATTAAATCTGTTCATTATATAAAGCAATCACGTATGTTCAGAAGACTTGGATTAAATCTCTTAATTCAAGTGGATTACTGTTACGATGTCTTGCTGGAATGTATGGAAGCTTGTTTCCAACACTGAATACAAAATAAAAAAGGTAATTACGACTTTTTATCTCACAACATCTCGCAATTCTTACTTTATAACAAGCAATTGCGAGTCAGTCTTTTTTTTTCTCAGAATTTGACTTTATAACTCAAGTTTATATCTGGCCATTCTGACTTTATTTCTCACAATTATGACTTTATATCCCGCAATTCTGACTTTATAACTCGCAATTGCACGTTTGTATCTCGCAATTCTGAGAAAGTCGGTCAGAATTGTGAGATAAAAAGTCACAATTATCTATTAAATTGTTATATTCCGTGGCAGAAACATGCTTCCACAGGAATGGACTTTCAATGAAAGAACAGAAATCTCTCAGATTTAATAAAAAATATCTTCATTTGTGTTTTAGTGATGAATGAAAGTCTTTTGAGTTCGGAAGGGCATGAGGGTGAGTAAATGATCATTTTCATCTAACCTTTTAACAGATTTAATATATATATATATATATATATTACATTAGAGGAAGGATGACTGGATAGCAGCATTTCCATTACTTTGTTTGTTTTAGGAAAGCGGAACCGGGTTTAGTTTCCAAGGGGAAGTCATATGATCTGAGGAATAAGACCTATTCAGTTCGTGGAATATGACATCATACCAGCATCACACTGTTTATCACTGTTTATATGAAATTCTGAAACCAAGACTCTTCAAATTCTAGTCACGGATGCTGGATCTTTATTCAGTTTTTTAATGTACATTTTAAGATTATTAACTGCTTATGTGTAGAAATGAGTCAAATCAATAAATAAATTACAAATAGAAATTACATAATTGGAACTCTTTCACATTATAAAATGATAATAAGACAATTAAAAAAGAAAATTACACATGTATCAAAGTAGCAGTGACATACTACATGACAGTGGAGTGATCAGGAGTGTATCTGAGGTTATGATGAAGTCAAATCACAAAAAAAACCCATCAGGCTGATAGAGAATTCTCAAGGTAACGGTTTGATCGACCGGCTGCTGTAAGCTGATGGACAGGGGTTTGTTCAGGCGTTTATGAGCGACTCACTATCTGGGGAGCATTTCCTCCAGGTCAGCGACCACGTAGGCCACCACAGCCCAAACAGCGGAACACAGGTTCATCTCCTCTGGGTTTTGGACGCTCATTGTATCACCATCGCTGTGGTGGAACCAGAAGTACCGCTGGTCTGCAGTGTGCAGGCTGGCGCCTGGGGGAAAAAAAGACAGAATGAACAGAACAGTGAACAGAGCTGAAATGGTGTGATTCTGTGTTTCACATGTGTGAAAATACTCCTTCTGCGTTAGAATATTAAAGAGTCTGGATACGTCTGCTCTTTAAAATAGTTCACCCATAATTTACTCGCCCACATATAACAAACCAAAAGTCCATGAAAACAGAAACTATGAACAAACAAGACTTAATACGTGTGACACTATACAGGGAAAATTAGCCCATATTAATCCCATAAAAGCACCAATGGTAGTGGAAAGTTCTGGATGTGATCTGCTGACGGGCAAATTAAAGAACATAGACGCGGCAGCCGGATCATTTGCATAATTACCTACTGTAAGACTTGAGAAATTAGGAAATGCCGGGCAGTCTGGTTGAGGAGCAACCACTCCCTGAGAAGACGAAGGACCTTACTGGAAATGAACATTTGAACTCTCTCTTGTGAAGTTAGCATCACCTCAGAATACATCTCTTTCTCTCTTCCTCCACTCCTCCTCCCTCATGCTGAGATCACCAAAATTCACCCAAGAATCTATATAGTTTAATGTGAATAATTATCATACAGTATTACACATGTTTGGTATCATTTGAAATGCCTCAGTGCGTCTGGTACAAATGTCTCATTCCTGATAAAAGACAAAAGGTAATAAATAATCTGTAACCCAGACCAGCCCGTGATGCGAAGTGTAAGCAAAACACTTCGCATCATGTGTTTTATAATGTCAAGGTATTGCATCTTATCTCTCTATTGCAGAGCATTTGATGTTTTGTATCTATTATCTTTGAACTGATTATGAAATTGGCACAATACATTTACCTGACCATAATAAATTGTAAACATTTGATTTTATTCTAATCGACTCTGACATTATTTTCAGTAAAGAGTTTAAAAGAATAGTCAAACATTCGCTCACATTTAATGATGCACTGATATATCATTAAAACTTTTTCATTTATGGAGTCAGATGAAAAAACAAGTTAATACATGAAAAAATCGATTTAATTTAATCAAATTACTTTGCCACGCGGAAAGACAGTAACACGCAGAGACCTTCACCCGCTGATCGAATGCCGCCATTGGATCGATTGAGCCGGGCCTACAGCGCAAATTAGCATCTGGTTTAAGACACGCTTTTATTGGGCAACCAATAATGGCCAGTAAACCAGTAAATTGACTAGCGCAAATCTTTATAAATCACCTTGCATGATTCATCTAAATATTCTCCTCCTATAAATTTTGCATCTGAAAGGGCAACTCCTACATATGCATATGCTATATGTTGTATATAGTGTCCACGCCATTTCAGAGCAAAATTGTCTTTAGTAAATCCTCACAGTAGTTTTTTAACGCCAAAAGAGCACTGGCGAAAACTGTTCATCTAAACTGTTCAAATCATCTCACTTGCACAAAAACAGATTCAGTATTACTCAGAATGAATAAAAACAGAGAAATGCAAACTCAAAATACTACGCAGACATGCAATAATTAAATATGTTAAATAACACAAAAAAAATGTATTGACCAATGTCTTTGCTGCTGACCTTCAATGATCCAATTCAACCATACTAATAATAAGCAAAAATGACTTTAGATGAACGTCACATTTCATTTGTAAGAGTGGTGAACTTTCTTCTCCTGCATCCCATTAGCTGCGCACGTACAAGAATACATTTTCATTTCCTTTAGCCTTAGGCTTATTTTTTTTAGTTTTGTTGTTATTATGTCCAGCCCAAGTCAGAAAAAGCAATGCAAAAGTAATGTAACATTACTTTCCATAAAAAGTAACTGAGTAACGCAATTAGTTACTTTTTTAAGGGAATAACGCAATATTGTAACGCATTACTTTTAAAAGTCCCTTTCCCCAATAATGGTAAGGTGCTAAATATTTTCCAGAAAGTACGCTATGTTATATTTCTGAACACTGTCATATTTCGTTCACATATTAGATGGATGTGGTTCTCAGTTCAATGATTCAGTGGTTTCTGCAGCAAATTAGTGAAGATTATCGGTTTTGTTCTGTTTTTCACACAAAGCTATCGCATGCCTTTAGAGCATTGGGAATACAACACATGCGTCACATCAACCCATTTTATGATTGATTTATGGTGCGTTTGAGTCGTATTTGATAGTAAATGCATGAAAAAAAAAGACTTTTTTGTTTGAATTTTGCTTCTTGTGTTTCACTGGGGAAGGAAAGTCATATGAGTTTCAAATGACATGGTGAGTAAATTACATTCATTTTTGTGCTATTACAGAACGACAGAAGGTATTTTCTTTCTTTCTTTTTACTTTTAACTCTGAATGGGTTTTCAAACTTCTAGGCCTTGATCCAAGTGATGCTGATAAAAAGCTGACCAGCCAGTGACTCATTAACACAGCATCACTCATGCATAATCAGTTTTAGATCAGTGTGCTTTAAAAACGTTTGCTATATCCCACTGCAGGCCTCATTCTCTTTGTTTGGAGGAGCAATAAAACATGGAGAAAAAGAATCCAGAATGCATGTGGTTGCAGTTAAAGACTGTTTGCCTGCCATCTATTTCTGTACTGATCCAGTATGTGAACAGGCACCAGGCACAAGATTCTTTATTCCCCTGGAAATACAGGGACAGTTTTGTTTGACCTTAGAAGGGTGCTTGGTGAAGCATTGCTTATTCTCTGCCCTAGAATCAATAGTGTGAGGTGTACGGTGCAATGCACGCTACAGGGACAATTCTAAAGGGCAGTGAACAGAAAAAAACTGCACAGGGTTGAGGCTATGTTCCAACAAACCTCAAATGTAAACACAGCTCAGTGATGTTTTTAAAATGTATTTGGTTAAATATTTAAAGGTACACAGTCATTTTTGTGTATGTTGTATTGTCTAATATGGATTTAACTGTCTGTCTGTCTATCTATCTATCTATCTATCTATCTATCTATCTATCTATCTATCTATCTATCTATCTATCTATCGTTCAAGTTTGGGTTCAGTGTGATTTTTAAAAAGTGAATACCTCTATTTAGCAAGGATGCATTAATTTGCTCAAAAGTGACAGACTTTTACGTTGTAAAAGAAAATTCTATTTTAAATAAATGCTGTTCTTCTGAATAAAATGTATCACCATTTCCACAAAAATATAAAGCAGCACACCGTTTTTAACTGTTTTATTAATAAGAAAGGTTTCTTGAGTAACAAATCAGCATATTTTAATGGTTTCTAAAGGATCATAAGACAATTCTGAAAATTGATCACAAGAATAAATAAAATTTGAAAATATATGAAAGTAGATTTAAATTGTTATAACATTTCACAATATTACTAATGTAGCTGTGTTTTTGATCAAATAAATGCAGCATTGCTGAGACTTCTTTCAAAAACATAAAACAAATCTTACTGACCCTAAACTTTTGAACAGTATCAATCGTCCTCGGGTTACGACTGTAACCCTTGTTCCCTGAGAAGGGAACGAGAACTGCGTCGAATGACACTTTGGGGGAACGCCCCTCAGCGTAGCGCCTCTGAAGTATGAATGAAACTGAGCCGATCTCTGATTGGTGCAACGTCATGACGTAATGTGTGACGGCACATAGGCGGAAGCTATAAAAGCAGCCGGCACACATAAGATGTCAGCTTCTGTGATGAAGCAAGCGCTCCCAGGCAGGGGAAGGCGTGGCCAAGGGACGCAGTTCTCGTTCCCTTCTTAGGGAACAAGGGTTACAGTCGTAACCCGAGGACGTTCCCTTTCGAGGGAACTCCAACTGCGTCGAATGACACTTTGGGGGAACGAGTACCCACTACGCCACAACGCGCCCTGCCTGCCCTAGTGTGAAGCTGCTCACAAGCACACTTAGGACGCGAGCACAAGAGAGCCGGGTGTAGACGGAATGTCCAAACTATAAAACCTAATAAAGGTATACGGGGTAGCCCATCCTGCTGCATCGCAGACCACCTGGATGGGGGCCCCCGCGAGAAGAGCTCTAGAGGACGCCATGCCTCTGGTAGAATGAGCCCTCACGGCCAAAGGTGAAGGCATACCGCGCACCTGATAGGCCGTGGAAATCGCTTGGACAATCCAGTTGCTGATGGTATGCTTTGAGGCGGGAAGCCCCTTTCTGGGCGACCCGAAACACACCAGCAACTGGTCCGACTTCCGCCATGAAGAGGACCTCTGAATGTAAATACTCAGTGCTCTGACAGGGCAGAGCATGTGAAGTCTCTCTTCATTCGCCGTCACGTGAGGTGGAGGATGAAAAGCCTGCAGAACCGTAGGCCGTGCCGCACTGGACGGCACCTTAGGCAAATAGCCGGGCCTAGGGTGAAGAATGGCCTTAATGTTGCCTGGAGCAAACTCCAGGCACTCGTTAGAAATGGAGAGCGCCTGGAGATCTCCTACCCTCCTCAGAGAAGTAATGGCCAACAAAAAGACCACCTTCAACGAAAGGTTCTTGGCCTCAGCCGACTCCAGCGGCTCGAAGGGGGCCTCGGCCAGCCCTTCGAGAACCACTGCCAGGTCCCAAGTGGGAACCCTGGTACGAGCCGCAGGTCTCATCCTCCAAGCCCCACGGAGGAAACGTACGACCAATTGGTGTCTCCCCAGAGGCCCATCACTCAGAGGAGCGTGGAAAGCCGCAATGGCAGCCACGTACACCTTGAGTGTGGACGGGGTAAGACCAGTGGAGAAGCGATCTTGGAGGAACTCCAGCACTGAAGCCACTGGGCAGTTAACTGGGTCCACCTCACGCTCCCTACACCAAACGGTGAAGACGTTCCACTTTAAGCCGTACAATTTCCTCGTGGATGGAGCTCTAGAGCTGAGTATGGTCTCCACTACTCCAGCTGATAGGCCAGCCTCTAGGTACTGTGCCCCCTCAGGGGCCAGACCCACAGTTTCCATAACTCGGGCCGAGGGTGAAATATTGAGCCCTCTGCCTGTGTCAGCAGGTCCCTCCTGATGGGAATCTCCCATGGAGGGCCGTCCAGGAGCAAAATTATG